GTCGCTTCCCTTCAGTGCCCTCCCGGAACTCCCTCCGGAGCTTCTTCCCAGAGTTCTCTCCCGACGTTCTCTTCCGGAGCTTCTTCCCAAAGTTCTGTCTCGCTGTTCTCTCCTGGAGTTCTCTTCAGAGCTTCTTCCCAGAGTTCTCTCCCCGTGTTCTCTCCCAGACCTTCTTCCCAGAGTTCTCTCTCGCTGTTCTCTCCCGGAGTTCTCTCCGGACCTTCTTCCCAGAGTTCTCTCCCGATGTTCTCTCCCGGAGCTTCTTCCTCGCTCTTCTCTCCCGGAGTTCTCTCCGGAGCTTCTTCCCAGAGTTCTGCCTCGCTCTTCTCTCCCGGAGTTCTCTCCGGAGCTTCTTCCCAGAGTTCTGCCTCGCTCTTCTCTCCCGGAGTTCTCTCCGGAGCTTCTTCCCAGAGTTCTGTCCCGGACCTCCCTGCCGGAGCTCCCTGCCAGCACTCAGCTGCCATGGCAGAGTTGGATACCATGATCGAGTTTAAGGATGAGCTGACCTGCCCCATCTGCCTGGAAATTTACAGCAACCCTGTGTCCCTCAAGTGTGGCCACAGCTTCTGCAAGAAGTGCATCCAGGAGGCACTTGGCTGCCAGCAGAGCTCTCCCAGCTGCCCACTCTGCCTCAGCCCTGCAGACCCCACCGTGGAGCTGCAGCCCAACTTCCAGCTCCGCAGCATAGTGCAGAGGTTTTTGGATACTCCTGCTCATCAAGAGGAGCAAAAGAAGGAAGAGCAGTGTGAAAAGAAGGAAGGAAGTTCAGGCCAGCAAGAGGAGGTGATCCTGTGTGACCTGTGCCTCCAGGAGCCCCAGCGAGCCGTGAAGACCTGCCTGAGGTGTGAGGCTTCCCTGTGCCAAGCCCACCTGAGCAAGCATGACACAAAGAATGCCCAGAACAACCACATCCTGGTGGAGCCCTGTGGGCCTCAGGCTTTGGCAGAGAGGAGATGCCCCCAGCATGGCAAACATCTGGAGTACTACTGCGTGGGAGACTCAGTCTGCATCTGCATGGCGTGCTGCATCCTCAGCTCCCACAAAAACCACAAGATCATCACTTTGCAGGAGGCTTTTGGCCTTAGCCAGGTAAGGGGTGGCCAGTTGCACTAGGAAAGCCACAGGGGGCTGTGGTGTGGGGAGCTGCCTGTGGCACAGGGCTGGAACTTCCCCCGAGTTTCAGAACTGCAGACTCAGGATGGGGTTAAATTGCCATCTTGGGCCTTTATTCTTAGCTTTGTCCCAGATTCCCTCTGGGCTTGCCCCTTGGGTTACAAAGCAAAGTGTTATAAACACTTTCTTCCTACCCTGAGGAGCCAAACTGGTGGGACCCAGTGCTCGTGGCTATGGCTTCAGTCCTTGGTGCATTTCCAAGCTGAAAATCAACCTAAGCTGCGTTTATGCAAAGAAAATTAACCACAGGCTACCATAAAGGAAGCTGCCAGTAGCTTTTTCTGTGGCTATGGCATGTGAACAATTCTCAGTTTCAAATTCTCTTTCCTGTGCTCGTAATTGTGGCGTTGGTTCAGGGATAAAAATCTTGCAGGAAACCTTTCTGTATTGATTTGTTCTGAGAGCGTGCTGTGAACAAGCTTTTTGCAAGTCTAGCTTCACCCATGTCTATAAAATCACTGATCTCGTCCATGCGTGTTACTCCTGTCCTGATATCTCCCTCTGGTTATATTTATAGAGTGTTTTTGCTGAAACTCTGAGAACAATAAAAAGCCACGAAGCTGCACTGGACCAAAGCATAGCAAACCTGCTGATTCAGGAGGAGAAAATAAAGGTTAGTGCCAAGCTCCCACTGCACTTCGGACATGTTTTTCTTGTGCCCTCCCCCAGATCATGGATTCCGAAGCTTTTTTTAGTTCCTGGGTGGTTTCACATGTATTTTTGAGATTTCTTCTTTGAGGAAAGAGCATGAACAGCTTTCTTTTCAGTCTGGGAGGTACATTCTTAGTTAAGCTTGAAAGTTATTAAGTCCATGCCTTCTGATTCGGGTGTGGTGTGTGGCTCTGTCCTGAGTGAGAGCTTATGAGAAAATGTCCTTTACAGCTTTGAATGTGTTTTCTTGATAGACTGAGAATAGCCTGCAGAGGGAACAGCTGGAGAGCCTGTTTGGAGAGATTAATCTGAAGCTACAGGAAAAAAAAGAAGAGCTCCTGAAAACTCTCAGTGACTTTGAGGAGAAAGAGCTTTCTGAGATTCAGATGCAGATAGATAAATACAAAATGCAGAAGGATTCAGCCAGCCATGATGTTCAAGAGCTGGAGGCTCTGAGAGATCAGAAGGACCTACTTGTTTTCATCAAGGTACCTAACAGCATGTCCCTTCCCATGGATACACAGCTCCTGGGCTGCTCTGTGCCTGCACTATGCTAATTCTCCTTTCACAATGTCTTTACAGGCTTTCAGTGTGATTCGAGCCAGGTAAGCTCTTCCCGAGGTGGTCAACCATTGGTCTGTGTGTGGCTTCAGGTGACTGCTAGTGCAGCAGTGTGGGTGTGCCAGCCCAGCCCCAGGCTCTCTCTGGCCACCCCTGGGGCAACTCTGCTGCACACTGTGAGCTCAGCTTCAGCAGAGACCTGGAGAAGCCCCAGACTAATAACAGAGGTCATATGTGACTCTGCATCTACAACATGGCTTATTTTTCGGTACCCCAGGTCTTGAGACCTGGATATTTAGGTCCCTGGGTGTGCATGCAAAGGACAGATGAGCTTAGACATCCTGAGTCATCCTCCAGTTTGCATTGGCTTTCTGTTTCTAAGAAGCAAATGCAGCAGGAGCTGAAACATGAGTGAAGTCAAGACACTCCAAAGCTCATGGCTTGTCTCCTGAGCTGTTTCCCCACTGCCCAGCACTGTTCCCCCTGAGAGAGGCATTGAGAGGCTAGAGGTGTCCAGGGAAGGGGATGGGGATGGGGAAGGGGCTGGAGAATGAGTCATGTGGGGCTGAGGGAGCTGAGGGGGCTCAGCCTGGAGAAAAGAAGGTTCAGGGGGGACCTTCTGCTCTCTCCAGGTCCCTGCCAGGAGGTGCAGCAGGTGGGGTCAGGCTCTCCTCCCAGGGAACAAGAGGCAGGACAAGAGGAAACAGCCTCAAGCTGTGCCAGGGGAGGGTCAGTTTGATCATCAGGAGTAATTTCTCCATGGAAAGGGCTGTCAGGGATTGGAATGTGCTGCCCAGGGAGGTGGTGGAGTTACCATTCCTGGAGGTGCTCAAGGAAACTGGACGTGGCACTCAGTGCTCTGCTCTAGTTGCCAAGGTGCTGATGGGTCACAGGTTGAACTCAGTGGTCTTGGAGGCCTTTTCCAATCTTAATGATTCTGTGTGATTCTGTATAAAAGCTAAATTTCTGTGTATGTGCAGGAACAGGCAGGATGCAGGAACAACCACAAACC